ATTTGCACTGGTCCTTTCTTCCTTTTCTACCTATTTTTTAGTAATTGTATGGGCCCCTTGAGAGAGAACCCAGTGATCTCCTTGAGTCAAGTACTTCTGGAACATCAATAGATTTTCTCTGCATTCCTTTATTCCATACATTTTAGCCTTAGAGATGATCAGGATTACAGAATAACTGCTACAAGATGATAGGAGCAAGTAGATAACCGTCTTAGAAAAATTCTAACTTTACTAGAAACTGACAAATTAAACACAATTAACTGTAGACAACATACTATTAACTGGCATGACACACCTCTATTAGATATTAAAAGAACAAATGTAGATATACAACAAAGTCCTGTACCTTCCATGATAAAGTGTCTTGTAAACTTTTCCCTTTAATTTTGTATTAGTCGGTTTCATAACAGATGGCAGGTTCTGTTTCCCATGATTGTGGGCTTGGCAAGATATCTTGAGGGATAAGAGGAAGAAGAAACTTTTTTCTTTTATCCCTTTAGCTAGTTCGTAGATCATTTAGAAAGAAAGAAATAGAAGAGCCTTCTAGATTAGTTGCTTTTCTTTTGGTAGTCTGGGATATTTGGTTCCATATGGGGTTTTTTTTTGGCTCAAGGGTTATCTGCTTAATTCAGCAAAAGATTTAAGGGGCTAATTGACATCTTACCTTTTTGCGAATGCACTTTCTGCTTTTTGTACGACAAGAGAATCAATAGGTTGACCTCAGTTAAGTATATATTTTTGTTTTCAGTCAATTTTGTGATCAGTGGGTATATTTTCTATGATAAATTCGGATGTCACTTGGAATATTGCTTTAGAAACTGTTTCCTAAGAATGACACTTGTTAATATCTAATTTTTGCCTGCAGGAATTGATCTGTTGAAGTTTGTAGTTTATGACCCATACTGGTCTGAGGGACAGGAAGGAATCCAATCATTGAATGTGAGATACAGGGATATCTGGAATATCACTATTGAGTAAGCTGCTAGTCAACTTTGATTGTTATACCTATGCATTTTTTTTTTGAGAGAAAAAGTAGTTATTATCTTACTTATTTTTGTTAAATATGTGAACTGCTCCAAGGGAAGAAAGTTTATTTGTTTGGGCATGTCCTGCCTAGTGGTTTTAAATATTTTGGAAATTGAGATAAATGAAAGATTGATCCCATGTTCTTCATTTTTCTACTTCTCTATATTGCCTATGAAGATTAAATTAATTTTACTATCTGATTAGAAGCTGGACATGTTCCCATGTTTTCTGCTGAACTATTACTTATTTTTTTTTTCTACTAATGTAACTCAACTGTTGAAAGAAAAATGTTATTTATGTTTTTCACTTCTCTCCCCACTAAAGCCTACAGTTTTAGGGACCCTTTATTAACTTCCGGACGGGATTGGGTTTCAAATTTGGCTTAGTGCCTGTTGTCTCTCTTTCTGACTTTCTTTGCTTTCCCTTAATGGTTGGAGGATTCCTTATTATCCCTTTCTTTTTGCATCATACTTTTCTCTCTTCAGTAAATCTGTTCTTTTTTTGTTGTTGATGTGGTATGTACCTCGATTAGAGAAGAGACATTTATGTGAGTTCCTTTTCTTTTGGCAGCAATGATGGAGAAAATGAAGAAAATGCTTTCTCAGGGCATATTTCACGGCCTTATTTCTCTGAGTGAGTTGAAGAGATATAATAATATCTTATATTTTTAACTACCAATGTGAATGCCGATGCTAATTTGTTTTTAAGATTTATTTGAATTTCATTTTTAAAATGAATCATGTCATGGTTCTTCCTAACTTAATTTCATGGATCATGATGGTTCCATTTAACTGATAAAATAATTTTCAAACCATATGGTGGGGAAATTTTTCAAGATGATTATACAGCTGTCTATTTTATGTTCATTAGAGTGCTGAACAGTTATTGAACAACATGTTAAATGTGCAACTGCATTGAGGATGTTAAAGTGGATGTGGGCTAATATGAAAATAGATAATAATAAGGTACAAGTTCACTATCAAGAGGCAGAGGACCAGGTAGCAGAGAAAGGATTAAAACTGAAGAAGTATATCCTTCTTTTTTTTTTTTTTGATGCAACGGAAGAAGGGCATCTTAAATGGTTGGACATCTACAACCTAGGCAAAGGCTTAGGGAAGGATGACTTTGTCTAAAGTAGATTGTCTTTCCTCATCAGGGCAATAGTATACTTAAAATGATGGTTCATATCAATCTAAAGTTTGGTAAGGAGAAATGGATACGAGGGATCTTGTTAGCAATCTAAGATAGCTTAGTGTTACTTGAGTTCTGTTGAGTTCTAGGTTTTCCTTCATGCTTCTTGGTGAACTTGATACTGATCAAAACGTTATTAGCGTATGATTCTTGTGTGGCGTTGTGATCAGAAATTTAGAGGGGTTGAATGGTTTCAACTTGAAATAAGGAGGACCACATATGTCGTTTCATCTACTAGTTAATCTTTGGTAGCATGAACCTTGTATGCTTTTTTGTAAACAATGTCATTTGATTAACTGTTTTATGCTAAAGTTATGTAGCTTATTATTTTTCGAGAAAACAAGAATTAAGAATTTTTCGGTTGCCATGGGAGGGAACAAAAACAATAAAGTTTTTGGTGTTAATTGAAAAACCAAAAGACCATTAAAAGGTGGTCTTGCATCTCAGTTTCTCTTGCTGGGCGAGAGATTGACCTGTTTTTCAGTTTTTTATGTGAGTTCTCTTGCTGAGTGTGTGATTGATTTGTTTCTTAGTTTCAATGTGAGTTCTAGTTGGAGAAAGACCGGGGTACTGGGTGAACGGTTTTAAGATTATAGCTTTTTTCAGTCGCCATGGGAGGGAACAAAAACAATAAAGTGTTGGTGTTAATTGAGAAAACAAAAGACCACTAAAAGGACGTTTTGCATCTCAGTTTCTCTTGCTTCGCGAGAGATTTGACTTGTTTTCCAGTTTTCTATGTGAGTTCTACTAGGAGAAAGAACAGGGTACTGGGTGAAGAGTCTGAAGATCAAAGGAGGGATTTTTTTCTTTTTCTTTTTTTTCAGGGGGGGAGGGGTTTCCGTGGGAGGGAACAAAAGCTATAGGGTTTTGGTCTTATAGTCTTAACTAAGGAGCAAGGGAGCATTAGAAGGAGATTTTACTTTCTTGAAGACTCTCAAGTAGATGGATGCAATGCTGGAGACTTATGAAGGCTGTTGATGAGATGTATTGACCTAGACCTAAATGACTACAAGCCTAGGAATAAAAAACGACTTTGTTATGGGGATCCTTTCGAGGATTGTAGTCTGATTAAGTTAAGATTAAATAGGAGATCATACCCTGTGCCGAATTTAGCTTCTTGGTAGTATTGCTTGTGCTGCAGAAGCTAGAGATCTTCATCAAAGCCATCTCTAAGTTGCAGGGTCAACTTCCTTTGAGATTGTTTGCTGAGATAGTTCTTAATGTGAGGTATTGGTAACAGATCTATTATTTAAACCAAGTGTAAATAATTCCAAAACTCAAAGGAAAGAGATCCCTAAAACCCCCGGGCGTATTGGGTTTGGACAGCTTTGAAGCTTTCAAGTGTCGAGGCTTGTAGAGAAAAAGTTTCCTTAACTAAAAAAGGTACATGGTTTCCTATTTAAAGGCATAAATAAACAGTTGAAGCCTTCCATTGGTGGATGGTCAATCAAGTCCAGGAAGGGAATCTTAGTCAAAGACTCATCTCCTTCTTCGCACTTGGCACTAGGTCACGACTCTAAGTTTCAATTGATGTAGGTTTTACTTACTAGGTTCAGGAACTTTGAGATTGATAGTTCAAGTTGTTGCTTGGATGAGTTGTGTGATTTGGAGGAGGGAGTCCCTTTTTTGGGAGGCTGCTCACTCTTTAGACTTTAGAGATCACCATTTAGAGGAGAGGTTGATGCTGGGAATGCTCTTAGTTATTAGCCTTGCTTCTTATATAAGGGAGGATATCTACCTTGCATAACCATTAGTGACTATAGAAGGTGGCAAGGTGGTCATGGTCTTTTTCGGGACCTAACGATTATGTGAAAGGACCGGAGATGGTGAGAGCAGAAGGGCATAATGAATTTGATTCTTTTGAGGGTGGCTTTATTGATCAAGAGAAAGTGTTTGCATGAGTTTTGAACAATATTCCTCGAATTGGCAAATTCTTGATGCAAGTTTTTGAAGGAGAAGGAAAAGCTGGCTATTAAACTCTTTCAGGCCATAGAATTAAGCAGATGTTTTAACAATAATGGAAAAGTCAGTGCTAAGACTCCTAAAGGTTAGAGAGAGAAGAAAATGGGAAGGGACAAAAGTAGAGAACTAGAGCTTATCATATTATACTAGTTATGAAAAGGGCAACAAGCCTGAAAAAGGATAGCATCATATCTGAGTTGGAGTATTTATCAAAGCTATGTTAAAGCATATTATCCCATGGAATGTGAGGGGTGGGAATGATGTGAGCCAAAGGATGGTCACTAATGGTTGCTTTCTTTTTGTTTTGTGCCTCAAGAATCCAAGGAAGAGTCAATGACAGACAATACAGCAGATTGTTTGTAAGAGGCTAGGGACATTGGTTGGTGTGACTTATTGGCTGATGGGGCTTTTGCAGGTGTTCTGCTGATGTGAGATTATTAGATTATGGAGATGGTGGTCAGGGTATATGCTTGATTTCTGTGTTTTAAGGATTGTTATGTTGGTGCTTTTTGTTTCCAGAGGTTTATTTGTTAAGGGGAAGACAGTGGGAGAGGAGACATGCAAGATGACCTCAAAGTTGCTAGAAAATGGTATTATTATGTGGTGACTGGGGGAGATCTTAACATGGTTTGTATGACCAAGATTCACTCTTCCCAAGCATGAATTTTGATGAGTTTAGACTTTCCTTTACGCCTGCAATCTTATTGACCTATCTTTATCTAGTGGGACGTAGACCTGGTCTGATGTGAGCTAGAGGCCTTGTTTTTGCTAGAATGATGGATTTTTGGTCTTCTTTGCTGGTCCTGATTTGATATAGAAGCTTTATTAAACAAAGAAGTAGGGTAAAAGATCACTGCTTACCTTGTTGTCCATTGTTTCCGAAATAAATAGTAATTGGTCAAAAAGTACCAAATATAGCCACAGTGAAGATATTCAGTATTCCAATTGGGATATTTATCAATAAGTAATATGAGAACTTTCAGTATTAGATGTGATTGTCATATTCAGTTATTTCCCCATAAAACTTGCATTGGAGATGTTTTCTGCTAAATAATCTGGTACTTAAAAAAGAAAATAAATCTTGGGAAAAGGTGTTTTTTGTTCATTGTTAATTCCTCAAACAGCTCCCTTATTTTAGTGCCTAGAGAAAATATGCATATATGTGAATTCACAACTGGACAATTTAACTTTTATCCACTTGTTTCACAATTCTTTTTTGGCTAATGAGGCTGATTGAATGTGAATTCTTTTTTTTTTTTTTTAGTTTTTCTGAGCCTTTTGAAGAAATTGTCTACCCAAAAGGAGATCCAGATGCTGTATCAATTAGTCAAAGAGACATTGAACTTCTGCAGCCGGAGACTTTCATCAATGATACTATCATCGACTTTTATATTAAGTAAGTTCTTATGGATATTCTGTGGCTTTTATTATGCAGAAATAATTTGATTCAAGTTCAGGATCCTCTCTCTGGTGTGTCTTAAGAATCCTTTTTTTATTTTTTTGCCTTACCTAACATCTGTTCATTTAAATTAAAAGCCAGATACATGTAAATGCATGCTTGAGGATGAATATAAATAATTCATAAGAACATCTCTTATCTTAAATTTGGAAAATAGGTAAAAAAGTGTTTGGATTGACTTACTTTTTTGTTTGCTTAGGTGCATAGAGCTTTTAGCTCCGATGAACTTTAAACCATAGTTTTTTAAGTAGAGAAAGTGTTTGGATTGTCAGGAACCTCCTAAGGATTTATTATAGAAAGAAGGGCAAAACAGAAAAATTCACACTCTGGAGGGCAAAAAAGTAAATTTCCAAGACCTGCTGGGATTAGGATTGACAAACCCTAATGGGATTCATCACATCCCGCGGCCGGTGCCTTAGTCATCATCATCATCTCGTCCTGCGGCTGGCACCCTGGTCATATCGTCGCGTGATTCCAGCGAGCATGATTCCGGCCACTGAGGGAGTTTTCTTTATTGCTTTAAGCCTATAAAAAGCCGATTTTCGTTGTCTTGTAATCATCGAATAAAGATCAATATTATTTGTCTCAATATCTCTCTTCAAATTTCTTCTTCATCTTCCCCATCCTCTCCTTCTTTTTCTTCTTCTTCTTCATTGTTCCTATAGATCAGAGCCATATCCGAAGGCATCTGACAAGATGGTATCAGAGCCGGAACTGGCCAATCCTACGTTGGTGTTGCTACGCGCACTTGGTCCAAAGGGAAGGCCATTGTGGCCAAGTTGGAGAATCCCAAAGCGATTACTAGAAGGAGGTCAACCTAAAACTCTCTGCGTTCATGGAAGAATCGCGTCAGTAGTTCAACGTGATCCTGGATCTACTCTGTGGCCGTTCTACTGATCGGACCGAAGAAAAATAGGTGTGCCTAGAAGTCGAGGCCCATAAAGGAGGCTTCCTGCCTCGCCCGAGTTGCGCAATTTTAGAGTCAGGAAAATAAGGGTTAGAGTTACCTTTTATACCCGATGCAATCCAACCAAACTAGATTTGACTGGCTAAAAAAACAGATTAGGCCGAACCGGTCCAAACCATCCGCAACCAAACCGGTCCGACGCAAACTGATCTACCCAATACTTTGAAACGAATCGGTTCACCTGCTCTGCTTCTCTTTCTTTCTCAAGTAATAGCGGTCAGGAATGGACTAGAGGTCTCTACCTTGTCTGACTTGGTCAGCCAAACGTGGCTCTCAGTGGTTAAGTAGACAGAAAGAGCTGCCTCTTGGAAGCTCTGCTCAAGTTCTGTTTCAATGCTCGCGAGGTCAAGATAGGAACTTGCAGGCCTCTCGTTCTCCAGAGGGTTTTTTATCTCTCAAATGAGAAGCGAAAGAGGGAGGGGCAGAAGAAGGAGAAGCGGAAAAAGAAGAGGTGGAAGAAGAAGATGTTACCGTGGTGGCGAGAGGCGGAGTGAGTAGAGTGGCCGGCAAGGTTGCGTTGGTGTCTGATTTCTTGTGGGTGGAAGCAGTAAAAACTGCTTTTAAAAAAAATAAAATAAAATATAGATATATATCTATATATAATAATTAAAATATATATATAAATAAAATAAATAAAAATAAAAATTACTTTAAAATATATATTTATATATATAATAATTAATTATATATATGTTAAAAAATATAAAATAAAGAAATAAGAATTAAAAAAAAAAACAGGAGGTGGATTTTTAACCTTGGGGATAAGATTGATGTTAAAGGAGAGAGTATTGTTAGGACACGAAGAGTAAAAAAAGAAAAATAACAAAGGAATAAATTAGTTTTTTGCATGTATCAATTAGGGTTATGGTTAGAGTTAATGTTTTGAATACACTTCCACAGCAGCCATCGCTGCATCAAGAACGGCCACTGATTTCAGTCGTGATAATCGTTGCTTTAATTGCTTATAGTTTATAAAAGATTCAATTTTTATGCCGTAATCATGAAGGAAAAGAATAAGAATTATATATTAGATTTCCCTCTCTATCTCTCCTCTCCTCCTCTCTCTTTCTCTCTTTTCTCTTCCTTTCTTTCTCAAGGTCAGACAACCATGTTAAAGGCTTTTGACAATCACACAAATAAAAAAGTGAAAAATTCTCAAAATGTTATTGAATACTTAAATATCCCTACAGAATAGCAAACTAGTAGAATTATGAATACTTATAATGAGAAACTAATACTAGTAATATTAGGATATCAATAAGAATTGAAATTCTAAATTAGTAAAAGTATTATAATACTCTTAAATAATATAACAATAAACTCCTAAATAATATAGTTGTTTTACATGTAATATAATTACAATTTCTAATTTATTTAGGAAATCTAATGTTAACTCATTCTGCATCACTTGAACTTGTCTTCCAAAGAACTGAAACCCGAAAACTTGAAATAATCATAAGAAAAAAAAATTGCTTAAGAAAAAGGATTTCAAAGGAGTGGTAAACAAATTAGGCATGGCAAAATATATAACATGAAGAATCACCAAACTTCGGTTATCACTGTTAGTACGGTAAAGAGTTTTTGTGTAATCCCTTCAAGCAGGCTCCTTTTTGTTCATGGAGCTCGATTCAACTATGATATTATTGTCCTCAACTTGAAATGTTAATTAGTCACTATAAACTTAAGAGATCAATTGCTGGCTGAGTCAATTTGTCGAAATGAATTACAATATCCTTCATAATCTTCTCAGTTACCTTATTCAAAGAGGTAGCTCCTAGGGTGTGGTGGTCACTAAATCACTGGCATCATGCAGTGGAATGCTTTGAGATTTTATTGCTTTAATCAGAGATAATTTAAACTTAGTACACAACTTCAAGTATTCTACCTAGATGTGATCGCTTCCATGGAAAAGAATGATTACAGAGGCCTCTCTATATGAGAAAATATCCTTTCATTGAGGTCGTACAAACTTGAAAAGCTTTTGAATATTTTTATAATCAACATCTCATATTCAAGATCCAAGGTTATTAGACTAGTCTAAGTCTTGCAACTTCCAAGTCTAAGATCTCCTTGACATGTGATCGCCTTGCCTTGTCACCTAATATTTATACAATCAACACTCAGCACCAAATTGAATTTAGAAAGCACCTATCTAAAAGCAAATTCTGCTTATGTTCTCTTGCCAGAAGTGCTTATTAATGTGCTTCTTAAAATAAGATCTGATCATGAAACTGTCAGCCTAAGATAGGTAACTTCCAGTAACTGAAGAAATTATCTCCCACATCCATGGAATGAAGAAACTGGGAGATATTACGAGCATAAATTGAAACTAAGCTGTCTATAGGAAATAATTTGGTGTTTCTTTCTCTTGCTTCTATGCCTAACCCTCTTTTAAATCATCCCCAAGTGAGATACATAAGGCTGCTGCGTTGGGTATCTTCAATAGTTTGATTATAGTTGGCTCATGATGTTTGGTATCTCCTTTCTTCTCTGATCAGCCTTACCTGTAAATGGTTGTTTGGATTTTTCTTTCTTCTCTGATCAGCCTATTACTTGTCAATGGTTGTTTGGATCAACTATCAAATTTTATCTTGTGAAGTTGTGTCCTCTATAACTTGTCTTTAATAGAATAAATATTTAGAAAATCTTATCTTATCTTTCTGCAGATATTTGAAGAATAAAATTCTCCCTGAGGAGCAACATAGATTCCACTTTTTCAATAGTTTCTTCTTTCGGAAACTTGCGGATATAGACAAAGATCCACATAGTGCTTGTGAAGGCAGAGAGGCGTTTAAACGTGTTCAAAAATGGACTAGAAAAGTGAATCTGTTTGAAAAGGACTACATTTTTGTTCCTGTGAACTACAGGTGGGAAAATTGCACTGTTTTTGTTGCTAGCAATATAGAGGGAAAACTTAGTCTTATATTTTCCTTTGACATAATATATGAATGCATCTTTCTCTCACAGCCTTCATTGGAGTTTGATTGTCATTTGCCATCCTGGCGAAGTGGCTCATTTCAGAGGCAAGGCCTCAAGCAATTGCTTCAATTTTATGTATCTTCTAGGCTTTATTCCTGCCATCTAAAAGAATCACTTCCATTTTATAGATGAAGAAATTGGAGAATCACTAAAAGTTCCATGCATCTTGCACATGGACTCAATTAAAGGAAGTCACAGAGGCCTTAAAAATCTGTTTCAAAGGTAACCAACCTGCATAACCTCTGTAGGATGAGGGGAGTTCCTTAAGGGCTTTGTTATCATGTCTTTTATCTCCAATGGCCTTTGTTGCCCATAACAACTGTATGGTTACCAAGTTTCTGATGTGGCATGGACCATCATACTAATTTTGAAGGAATCCTCTATTCCTGTATTTGTAGTCAGCTCAGAACTAATATATATCATACTTTTTGGTATCAAAGTTGATTGGTGTTACTTGATCTTTGTGTGTACTGCTTTGCCAGTTACTTATGTGAAGAGTGGAAAGAGAGGAACAAAGAGACAACAGATGATGTTCTTTCCAAGTTCTTACACATACGGTTTGTTTCACTTGAGGTATTGATTCTTCTTGGAGACAATTTTTTTTGGTTGATATAGGGACTGGAATGTTTTATTGCTATATAGATAATTTCTCTTTCTTTGGTTCTTATTCATTTTGTAGGATATATCTTATCCTCCCACTTTTTATCTTCTTCATTTTCTGATAAATCTTCTTTTTCTATTAAAAAAATTATTTAGTTGGTATAAATTTTATACATGGACGGTGCTCCCTTAGTACCTTGCATCAATACATCTTCACACTTTTATTTCAAAAAAAAAATTATTTAGTTTATTTATTATATATTTGTATTGCAATTAGCTGCTTTCCTCTATGTAGATATGTAATTTCTGTAGGTCAATGTGGCCAAAACTATTTACAAATAATTAAACGGTTTTCTTTTGATTGGTATCTGCATCCTTGAAAATATTGGTGCATATCGTGGGTTGGTTGGGGGAATGTCTGAAGTGGTCTGCTTCTTTCTTCAAATGGTTCCCTCTACCTGGATATTATTTTATCTATTTTTTGCTTACCATTTCGGCTTCCTGTTATATTTTTATGCTATTGGCTATATAATTTTTAATATTTTAGACATTTTTCTCTGTCACTTTCCTCCTTACAAAAGAAATGATGGGATGGGGCAAGATATATTCGTGAAGTACAGTGTATTTCCTTCAAATTTAAATTTAGGGGTGTTTCTGTGTGATACAGTAAAGCTTATGGAAAATTATAATTTGTCAAAATGTAACTTCAGGACTAAGAGTAACAAGCTTTCTTTTGGACTTGGCAACAAATACACCTATCTAAGCCCAAAGTTTATTCTTCAGAAATCCATGAACAATGATGAAGCTTGAGAGGCCCCTACTCTGAACATTTTAGTATATGTAAATATGAGATATCTTACATGTTTATTGTTTAAATAATTTATATTCTGTAAATTTAAAGTATGAAAAAATAAGTTATTAAAAAATAATTAATAAAAATAATTAGTTAAAAACTAATAAACTAGATAAGTATAGCAAGTCTTAACAACCTAGATTGCCAAAATTTTGCTTTTATCTCCCTCTTCTAGAGGCAACCCTCTTCAGTCATAGATCTCCATAGCTATAGTTACCAAAAAGGGCTTTGTTAAAGTCCACTATCAGCCTGATCCAAAGTCCATCCTCTGAAAAAGGAGCTTAAACACATTCCAGGAAGCCAAATGAAATTCTGTTCTTCTCTGTAAAGTCATCCCTTAAGAAAATGACAGAATAATTTCTAGCTTTTTTGGCCACACTAGCAGATATAGAATAATAGAAGATGATATATTAGAAAATATACTCTTCATAAGTGTCAGCTTACAGCCTTTGGAAAGGAACCTCTTCTATCCTACCAATTTAGTCTCAAACTTAATCACGATAGAATCCCAAATATTCTGAGGGCCAACAAAGTCTAGAGGAAGACAAGCCACATTGCACCCTAGAATTCTAACTAAAGAAATCGAGCGCCTCCCTCCGCCAAACAAGACCAGTTTGATTTTGCCAAATTAATATTGAGCCATGAAATGATTTCAGAAAAGAAAATATTGAGCCATGAGACAGCTTGAAGGCCCAAAGAATGCATCTAATATTCAATAAAAGCTTGGGAATTAGGTTGCAAAACAAAAGTGTATCGTAAGCAAAGAGCAGGTGTGTCACCTCCATGGCTTCGTCTCTCCCTACCACCTCCAAACCCTAATGAAGCTGAAGATCTTTTGCCCTAACAAGCTGCTGGTTGAGAGCCTCCATCACAATGATAAAAATAAATGGTAGAAAAAGGTCCCATTGCCTAAGACACGAGAAGCCATGAGAAAACAGATGAGCAGCCATTGATAATAGCAGCAAAAGAAGAAATTAAAATGCAAGACTTACCCAGGAGCACCATTTTGCACCAAAATGAAGTCTTGTAAGCATGTAAAATAGAAAACTCCAAAACACATGACCTTAGGCTTTTTTCATGTCAAGCTTACAAATGGCACCCTCAACCCCTCGTCGTGCTAGATGGTCCACCACTTAGTGCAATGAAAAAAGCTTTCAGGATTTTCCTCTCCCCAACCAAAGCATACAAACACTTCCTAATCACACTGCTCATTTCTCTCCAATCTCCTCACCAACAGCTTTGAAGTAATTATAGATACAAAGTATCAGACTAATGGGTCTAAAGACTGTCCTGCAAGTTTTGGTATAAATGCTAAAAAGCTGAAATTAAGACTGGATACAGAGGATCATAGAATTTCGTGAATAATGCGAACAAAATCCTTTTTCACTGTTCGCAATTTCGCCGGATGAACCCATTTGAAACAATCCGGTCCCAATGCTTTAACTCCTCCACAGCTTATGAGGACTTAATAAATCTCTCCCTTGGAGAACGAACACTCAAGCTGTGCCAAATCCTATTCCTCTTAGTGTTAAATAGAAAACCATCCAAGGTAGGCCACTGAGTGAAATTTCAGTGCAAAAGGTCCTTAAAAGAACCTTTCACTTCTTCCCATGGG